TCGTGTTTATTTATTTAGCCGACGCGGTTTGTGTGTGTGTGCCTCTTTGCCTGCCTGCCTGCCTGCCTGTGTGTGTGTGTGTGCCTGCCTCCTTTATTGACGTTGGGATTATATACATATATATATATTTATATATAAGGAAACAAGAGGAGGAGTAGTAGAAGGAGAAGGAGAAGGAGAAGGAGTAGTAGAAGGAGAAGGAGAAGGAGAAGGAGAAGAGGAAGGAGAAGGAGAAGGGGAAGAGGAGGTCATCAACAGCCCCGCATTCCACATTTTATTTGCAGCCGACGTAAAGACACATTTATACACAAGAAGAGAAGAAGATTACGCCGCAGCAGCAGCAGCACCAGCAGCACCAGCAGCAGCAGCAGCAGCAGCGTGGTACGGGTGACCAGGCAACGCGTGACATTCTGAAAAGAGAAGAGACACATACATATAAATACACACATACACATACAGAGAGAGAGAGAGAAACAAAAAGAAAAAGAAAAAAGGGGTTTTGTGTGTGCAAGTCGTAGCAGAAAAAAAAAAAAAAAAATACACAGGGAGAGAGAGAGAGAGAGCGACCGACCGACCGACAGACAAACAGTGAATTCACCAGCAATAAAATAATTAACACCATATTTTATATATTTATTTATTTATTATATATTTGTAGGGTAAAGAGAAGGGGCAAAGGTGTCGATTGAAAGCGTGACAAGAGAAACAAACAAACCAAAAAAAAAAAAAAAGGGCACTTTGTCACTTGACATCAACAGGGGAAACAAACATAGAGGCAAAAAGGAACAAACAAAAAGAAAAAAAAAAAGGAAAAATAGGGAGGTGACCAGGCGAGGAGTGTGAAGACAGAGAGAAAGAAAGAGAGTTACGCCAATGAGCACCGGGGACGTCAATAGTGCTGGGGATATTCTTGACGGCTTTTTTAGCCATCCATCGCTACCATATAATCCTTCAGTGGGAGAAGGTGGCGACTCATTGACGAAAAATGAGCCAAGACAGCCGCTACCACAACAGAATTCAGAAATTTTTCAGCCACATACACCGAATAATACTTTATCAGAGGCCACAACAGTAACAAGCACAAGTAGCAGCAGTCAAAGTGCCGTTAAAAGTATCGCTACCTGTTCAGCTGGCGACAACACTGGTAGCTACTCGCATGCTGGTAACAATGTGGTAGGTACGCATACCGCCTCTCCTATTTCTAGTACGCCCCCTAATCAGGGGTATATGAACGTGCCTTCCATGTACACCGCCGCGTTGGCGCAAACTTCCCATCAGCAAAATAACATGCAACAGCACCCTGCTCATCTTTTCTCCGGCGCAGTGGATTCACCAACCACAGCAACAGCAACACAACCAGAGACCGGTCATACATCCGATGGATCGCCGTCAGCTTTTATGCAAGGCAAAGAAGTGATGCTTGAGCGTCTAATGGCATGTTTAGGTGAATCCAAAGGTATGGCGGCACTTCAGCTTCAGTTAGCGCAGGTTACAGCGCCGTCATCTCCTGCAGTTGCTGCTTTAAAGCAAGTAATTCGACATTTGGAGGAGGATATTGAGAAACTCCTTCATCTTCGAGACATGCCCACCACTTCTGCTCTTATGAATGGGGCGGCAGTATACCAAAAAATGAGCACCGATGTGCCAAAGGAATCTATTACCACGTCAGAGGTGCAGGTGCCCAATCATCAATACCAACAACAGCAAACTGATGTAAGCGTTGCGCCACTGTTTGTTGCAAATGCACAAGTAGCGGCAACGGCAACATTTTCTGATCGTGGGATATGGTCACTTTCTGAGTCACGGAATGCCACTATTAAAAATGGAAACATGGATTTGGTGGATACGTCCGGCTCGACGGCAGGAGCAGCATCCATGATGCAACAGCAACCGTATCAACACCTTGAGGTCATCACACCACAATCGGGACAAATGACATCGTATCTTGGCGACACTGGGGCATCCGTGACACAGGCGTATCCGATGTTAAATTCAGCGCTGCTTGCTTCTTGTGATGACACTCCAGCTATGTATGCCGCATCCGGTGAAACGGGATATAATTTTATAGATGCCAATATAGGTAGTCTTGGTTTTGGAGATGCCATACGTGGTCCTCCACGTCGAAATATGGATGAACAACACCCTGTGGACGGTGAAATAGTGCCAAAGTTTCTTGCCTTTGTAGAGTTTAAGCGACACCGGGTACGTAAGTACGAATGTAACATAGATATTTCCCCGGGACTGTATGTCATGGTAGATGGTGATCGTGGGAAAGATTGTGGGCTTCTTGTGCAGACCATTAAGACGTTACCAGACGGCTCTACCTCCTTTTATTGCATGGATGGTACTCATATCAATGCTGATAAAATCAAGTTGGAGAAGGGACGTGTGTTGGGGGTTGCAACGGCGGAAGAAATTGACTATCTACATCACACCATGCAGCAGGCAGAACGTGTGGCCCTTGAGACCTGCAGAAAGGTATGTGAAGACATGGGCATTAAGATCAACCTTCAGGACTGTGAATATCAATTTGATATGGAAAAGGTAAGCTTTTATTTTAACAGCGAACACAGTGTGGACTTCCGTCCCCTTGTCCGGGAACTATATCGCCTGTTCCGTGTGCGTATATGGATGGAGAACACAAATCCACATGTGAAGAATGCCATGCCTGCAGTAGATCTGGGGGGTATTGGAAACAGTAACATCAACGAGGAAATTACCGCGATGAGTGAGGGCGTTGCAAGTGTGAATTACAGCCTCAATCAGCATCAACATAAACATGGCGGTGGTACAGGCTTAACTGCGATAGGTGGAAATAACATGACAGGTGGTAGACGACGGGGGCATCGTCGGTCGTTGCAGAAGAACACTCAAGGAAAGGACGGCAAGAAGTAGCGATACTTCTTTTTTTCCCTTTTTTTACCCCGTGACAGCAGCAAAGAGGGAGAGTTGAATAAATTCTCCTCCCAAATTGAATTAAAATGAAAAAAAAGAAAAACAAACAAACAAACAAAAGAAAAAAAGAAGAAAAAACAACAACAGAAACGGAAAGAGAGAAAAAAAAAAAAAAACAAACAACCGACAGAAAAAGCAAGAAAAGGAAAAAACAACAAAAACAAAAAAACAAAACAAAAAAAAAACGGAGAAGGTGGGGTGGGGGATTCCACTGTTGTCGTTCACAACGGTTGGAAAAGCCTTTTTTTTTTTTTTTTTCTTCTTTTTTTTTTTTTTATTTCATTTTTATTTCATTTTTATTTCTATTTTTATTTTTATTCATTTATTTTACATCCATGCGGGAGGGAAAACGAAAACAAAACAGAAGAGAACGTTTTAAAAAAGAGAGAAACAAAAAAAAAGAAACACACACACACAGAGAGAGAGAGAGAGAGCGGCAAACATCTTACCGACAGAAGACGTCCCTCCCACCCAAACCGAAAGAAAAAAAAAGGAGGAAAATTGTTTGTGTGAGAAAAAAAAAAAAAAAATGAAGGAATTAAAGAAGAGGGGGAGAGAGAAAGAGAGGTGCGGGTGAACGCACACACACACACAGACAGACGGACAGAACGAAAAGGGGGGTGAAAAAAAAAAAGGTATGTTTTCAAGTAAATCAAGAGCAAATAACAGAAGAAGGGGGAAAAGGAGGCTTTTTTTGTGTGTGTTTTTTTGTTTGTTTGTTTGTTGGTATTTATTTTATTTTATTTTATTATTATTAATTTCTTTTTTTTGAGCAACTCATTGACGGTGTGTGTTACGTTTTGTTGTGTGGGGGAGGGGAGAGAAAAGGGAGGAGTAGCGGAAGCAACGGCTCTGCAATGTCATGAGGCGACGCTGACATGACTACCTCCTCCTCTCCCCCTTCGCCTTCTTTCTTTTTTCTTTTTTTTTTTTTTTTGTTTTGTTTTATTTCTCTCTCTCTCTCTCTCTCTCCTTCTCTCTCCGACAATCTCACATGACACTCACACTTATTTGTAGGTCATTACTTGTGTTTTTGTCGTTGCGGCTGTGCCTTCACACGTAGGCAGCGAAACTGAGGGGAAGGAGACGAGGGTCATGGACGGGGAAGAGTTAAGAGAAAAGAAGGGGAAAAGGAGGAGGTAAAGACGTGAATGTCATGAGGAAAAAAAAATAATATACAAATACATAGAGAGAGAGGAGTGGACCTCGTTGTTGTTGTTGGGTGTGTGTGTGTGTGTGGCAAAAGAAGGCAAAGGCACTTCAAAGTGAGGGCCTAAGGGAATGACAGCAGATGTGTTTCTGTATTTGTGTGTGGGAAGAATATCAGATAATTCAATTAAAAAAAAAAAAAAAAAAGAACCATACTCACACGTACAGAGAGAGAGAGAGAGAGAAAGAAAGAAAGAAGGGAATATAATCGGCGAAATCAGGCGATGTTGTGGGCTTTTTTTTTTTCCTTTTTTTCTTTTTTTCCCTTATGCCTCCCCAATTTGCATGATTCCCAGGAGCATGAGTCCCTTGTTTTCTTGTTTGTTTCTTTTATTTATTTATTTATTGATTGATTCACTCGCGCTGTTTGTTTTTGTTATTGTTGTTGTTATTTTGTTCTTTTTTTTTTTTTTTTTGCCTTTTATTATTATTATTCCCCCAAATCTTCTTCTTTTTCTCCTTCTTATTTTTCCCCCGTATTCTTCTTATCTCACACTGTCTGCATTTACGTGTCTCTCTCTGTGTGTGTGTGTGTGTGTAGGGAGGGTGTCTGTTGAGGCGAGGGTAGGCGACACCCCACATTGGGCCGCTGTCTCGTTTTTTTTTTTTTTTTTTTTTGTTGTTGTTGGTGTTGCTTTTGCTTTTTCTTTGATTGTTTATATTTATATTTATATTTATATTTATTTACTTTGTTCCCCTTCCCCGCTACACACAGAAAACAACAACAATAATAACAGCAACAGGAAAGAAAAAAATAATAATAAAAGGAAAAAAAGAAAAGGAAAAAGGAGGGAGGGTACATCAAGGCAGTGGGTGTGTTGGCGTGACGGACGCTTATGTTACGCCTCAGTGTGTCTTGCTTTGGGTTAAAGCGAAAGAACTCCACGCATGTGCACAAGTTTCTTGAAGGATGTCCCCTTCCAGAGACGCTTGTGGATGACCTTGCGGGAGCGAACTTAAAGTCGTCTACGCCGTTCTTCAGCACGATGCCACGTTACATTGTGGCGAAGGAAAATCGTCTGTCAACGTTGTTTTTTCATCATGCACTTTATCCTGCGGGAGGGGCGCGGCGACCGTACCGTGTGGTGGTGGTCCGCGGTGGTCGCGGGGTGCGGAGTCAACCCGGCGTGGCCGTAACCCTCTCCAAAAGTGCTTTTGAGGAGAACTCCTGTCGTCTTTATCGAGATCCGGCACGGCGTCCGTTTTTCTACTCAAGGCCAGCTGCTCTGGCACCGTCTCGTTTCAGCCACGAAGTGAGGAACAAGGATGAGGGAAAGAACGAGGCGCCCGTCAACTCCAGCAATGTGACTGGTCAAGAAAAAGGCATGACGGCAACGTCGTCGCGTTCTACCGAAGACAGCCTGCTAGCGCCCCTATGTGGGGTTATTGAAAGTCACTTTCTGGCACTCTTAAAGCAACACGCGATAGAGGAGGGTGGTGGGAACGAGATGACAGCCGACCCTACAAGAGCAAGAGAAGGTACAGGAAAAACAATCGAGGAGGAACTGGCGACTTTGTTGAGTGGTGGTCACGGTGGTATAATGACGGCGGAGGAGGAAAGGGATACGACGGTCTTAAGCCCCCCCTGTAGTGATATTGTGGGAAAGATGCTGCGGAATGTCGCGTCGCTTCCTTTTTCCTTCTTCCACGTCCACGTTCACTTGCCGTCCTCTGCTCTGTTTTTGACGCCATCTACTACAAAAAAGAACACCGCCACTCATGAGGCACGGGTACTCTTTGATAAAAGCGAAGAGGATCGTACACGAAAGTCGGTGGTGGCGCGACTTGCCGGCGGGTTAGAACCTGCTGTGGCCTTTGCTGTGGGATCGCCTTTAGTTGTGCGTTGTGGCGCAACATGTGGGAGTTCTGCGGGGTATGAAGGTGTGGTGGCAGACGGGATGCCGTTTGGACATATTCAGTGCCTTCTGCGCGTGTGTACTAGAGGGGGGAGAAGTGACGGCGGTGATGAAGCGGAGGAAGTCGCAACAACACCCAAGACGTGCAGCGAACACCCCGAATCCCTGATGCACGAGTCTAACGCCTTTCCCGTGGCGACAAATGACCGTGAGAGCAATAAGAGAGAAAACGTTAATGATTATCACGGCACTCCAAACGGAATTTTAGAACCATGGAAGCTTGGCGTGAGTTTGGACCCGAAGATACCCTTTTATGTGAGGACGATGACAGAAAAACGACCTGCTGCAGCTCGCACTGGAAGTACATTTGATGATGTCTTGTCATCATCTAGATCAGGCGGTTGTACCCTGTTAGGGCGAAGGGATTGTGAGACGTACATTCTGCCTCAGCGCGAGTTGCTTTTTTCCTTTTATGCTCCTGCGGAGGTGGTCACAATGTGTGCACAACAAAATGAAGAGCGAATGCGGCGACAAGCGGCATTGGGCCATAGTGGTCCGACGCACGTGTTTGCAGAAGGTCCACGGACAGCGAGTCGACTCCTGCAGGGAGCGCATTGCAATCATGCGGCAGCAGAGGAAGCAGCGGTAGCGGCGGCGTCCAAATATGGCACTGTTTGTGGAGCCACACCGCAAAACGGTTCTGTCATGTATGAAGTTCGGGCGCTGCCGGGTGACGTTGTGTTTGTCCCGCGGGGATGGAGGTACAGTGTGGAGCGTATTGTTGGTACGGCCATTATGAACGCCGCCGCCACGTCCACGCCCACAGAAGGAGTGATGACAAGGAAGAAGACGGGATCTGATGTTTTGCCATACGGAGAAATAAGGACTGCCTTCATGCATAACAAACCCTCGACGCTTGCATCCTTGTTGGGGAAGGTGCGCAATGTGTCTATGAAGACAGAATCACAACTGAGGTGCATGGAGGCCGCGGAAATATGTGGAGTTGAAGTGGAGGCCTTTTTACTGTGTTACAAACCGTATCCCGTGTTATCTGCCGAACAGGCCGCCGCATATGTCCCCTCCAATTATGTGCGCCGTGGCGTCGAGGAGTTTTACGCCAAGGGTGGGAATGACGTATTTCACAAGTACGTGTAATTTGTTACATGGGCCTTTAAGAAAGAGGAAGAAACAGTGAGATGGTGGTGGTCGCCGTCATGTTGGGAGGGTGTAAATTGGTGTCTTTCTTTTTGTTGTTGTTGTTTTTGGTGTATTTGTTGTTGTTTTGTTTTTATCTTTTGAGCTCTTGTTTTTGTTACTACAGCCCATATAGAGGTATTTGATTAAGTCAATATATATATATATATATATATATATATATATAATGCTCCGAGTGTGCAACAACGTGGAGGAGGCACTCGAACTGAGCAAGCGATGGCAGGTTCCGTTACTTATATTTGTGCAAAGCCCTCCTTCAGAGGTGGGGAGGCATACTGATGCTTTTGATTTTACAGAAATATATACAACGTCTTCTCGTGGAAATAGAGTAATAAAGCCAACTTTTATGTTGGGCAATGGGCTGCTGGCAAGCGATGGAGGGGCGCAGCGGCAGGTGTTGGAAGCTGTGTTGCATGAATCCCGTTTGGATTTGGTGACAATTGTGCATTTTATGGAGGCAGGCTCGGAGGCACATAATCTCTTTATTGCCGCCGTGCCAGAGGCCAGCAACACGGTTCCACGTCTTCACGTGTTTCCATCTTCCCTACGTGAGCAGCCACGGATTGTGTTGCATGGCGTCGCTCTTACCCCTGGACGTATTTGTGATGCCATTCGTTTTGGGCTGCAGATGCCACCGCCAACAAAAGTTGCGAGAGCGAAGGAAGAATTCATGCGGCAGGTGGAAGAAATGAATGCGGCAGTTGCGGAGGGAGGAAGTACGGTGCTGTCAACGGGGGTTGGAATCACTCCTACTTGTGCAAGTGGAACGGCGTCCGGCACTGTTGCTGGGAGTGGGAGTGGGGGTCTCAAGGGTCTTCACTTCATTGAGCTTAACGGCCTTGATAAGAGGGAATTTGTCCTCACATCACCCGGCATGACGTTGCGTACCGTGTGGGTGAAGGTCGAGCAGGCCCTCGGCCGGGAACGGCAGGTGGCAGGTGGGACGGCACGCTCACACGGAAGCCAAAAGTTCGTCTTGCACATCGAACCACCCGAGACGGCCACCCCAAACTCCACCAGCGGCGAAAAGGCAACTGGCCACGTGGTGGTTGATTCCGTTGAGGCCGCTGCCAAGATTGAAATTCACACAATGCCACACAACACAAGAGTGACAGTGGTGAGGAACGAGCCGAGTGCGACGGGGCCACAGCCAGTTAGACCAAGTTGCGGCAGAGAGCCTCAAACCGAACACGGCGAGAGAGAAAATGTGATGAGGTGCGACGGCGGTGTGTGTAGAATCGGTGGCAATTCTTTGAGCGGGGAGCCGAACATTGAACAGCAGAAAGACGCCTTGCCTCCCACAGCCTCTGCTGTGGAAGAGAAGCAGGAGACGAAGCCGGCGCACAGTTCTTCTATTACCAGAGAAAATGCCCGTATACATGTGCGTTGCTCCCTTCCGAGCGGCGGCACCCACATGGTGGATGATCTTGACCCCGCCGTCGCCACCTTATCCACACACCTACGCCGCCCAATTGCAGGGTTGATCGGCCACGATGCCTTTGTATTTGCTCGAGTGTACCCGCCACATCGCTTTTCCCTCGAGGAGGAGACAAAACCTCTTGAGACCCTTGGGATGCGCAGCTCGTCCGCCCTGCGAGTCGTGCCTACTGGCGGCCCACCGAATGCCCCACAGGAGCCGAACCTCACAGAAGTCAACAAAATTGGGTTATTTGGTCTCGTTTCCTCGTTGCTGCGACGCGCCGGTGCGTCAACTCCCTTTGTTGGGACAACCCAAACAACAGCGTCGCCATTCGGTGATACGCGTGCCGCAGGGACAACTGCACAAGGGAGTCGATTCCGCACGATGGCCGAGATGCGTGCAAAGGAGGAGGAGGAAGAAAGAAGAATTGCTGCCGAGTCTATTGCGTTGGCGGGTCTTACAAAAGAACATCGTCGGAAGAAGGCGAACCGGTATTACGGTGGGGGCTCCACAGAATACGCTGGATGGGACGACAACGAGGTGGAGAAGGAAGATGGGAAAAAAGACGGTGAGAGCGACGTCGGTGAGGAGGCCACGGAACATACCAAAAAGAATGCATAGTGTTTACCTTTCAGCATGCCAGGCGATGATATGCAACGACAAAAAAAAACAAAAAAACAAGCAAACAAACAAAAAAAAAAAAAAAAAAAGACGTGATGAATGGATGAAGGTGGGACAATATACACCACTAGAAGTAGTAGACTGGGGAGGTGGTGGAACGAGACAAACGAGAGAAAAAAGAACTACTCATAACCCTGCAACAACCATGCAAACACGAAATTGCATCAAATACACACAAGAAAAGTGGAAAAAAAAAAAAAAAAAACAGAAAAAAACTCAAACAAAAAATACGAGACAGAATACATATACATATATATATATATGTATATAACGAAAGAAGGGAAAAGAGATAAAGAGAAAAAATATACATATATATATATATATACAAGGGGATAAAATGACCGCAAAATTTATCAATTTTATTCTCATATATATATATATATATATATATATAAACCTTTAAAATGTTCCCTATACTCTTACTTTACTCAATAAATATAAAAATACAATATGGTCTACCATCTTCTTCTCTTCTGGTCTTTTTTTTTTTTTTTTTTTCTTTTGTCATTTATCATTTTTAATGAGCGAATGAAATTTGACTATAACAACAACAACAAATACCAACAAAAGACGGGGTAAAATAAACATTAAGAGGCATTGGTCACCAATATCATCAAAACACAATAGGAAAAACAACATCCAATACCACAAAGAAGAAACCAACACATAAATAGAAAAATTATTTCAACGAGAGAACTACCAGCAAAAACAACAACAACAAAAAAAAAAAGGACCGCATAAATGAACTTAATGATTGCAAACAGGTATCGCATTAGTCAGAAGATTGGGGCGGGGTCGTTCGGCGAGATCTTCCGCGGCACAAACATACAGACGGGCGAGACCGTGGCCATCAAGCTGGAGCAGGCGAAGACGCGCCATCCACAGCTCGCCTTTGAGGCCCGATTCTACCGCATTCTCAACGCAGGCGGCGGGGTCGTGGGCATCCCCAACATTCTTTTTTATGGCGTGGAGGGCGAGTTCAACGTGATGGTGATGGACCTGCTGGGGCCCTCGCTCGAGGACCTCTTCAGCTTCTGTGGTAGGAAGCTGTCGCTGAAGACAACGCTGATGCTGGCGGAGCAGATGATTGCGCGCATCGAGTTTGTCCACAGCAAGAGCGTCATCCACCGCGACATGAAGCCGGACAATTTCTTGATGGGCACCGGGAAGAAGGGGCACCACGTCTACGTCGTTGATTTTGGTCTCGCCAAGAAGTACCGCGACCCCCGCACGCACCAGCACATCCCGTACAAGGAGGGGAAAAGCCTGACGGGAACGGCACGGTACTGCTCGATCAACACGCACCTTGGCATTGAGCAGAGCCGTCGCGACGACCTGGAGGGCATCGGCTACATCCTGATGTATTTCTTGCGTGGCTCACTGCCGTGGCAGGGCTTACCAGCTGCAACGAAGCAGGAAAAGTACGTCGCGATTGCTAAATGTAAAATGTCTTCATCTCTAGAGACGCTGTGCAAGGGCTTTCCCGCGGAGTTCGCCGCGTACCTCAACTACACCCGAAGCCTGCGCTTCGAGGACAAGCCGGACTACAGCTACCTGAAACGGCTCTTCCGAGAGCTCTTCATTAGGGAGGGGTACCACGTGGACTACGTGTTTGACTGGACGCTGAAGCGCATCCACGAGAGTCTTCAGGATGAAGAGAAAGAATTGTCCAACAATTAGTTTAAAGAAAACTCAATAAGGGCTGCAACTTGAACAAAAAGTCTGTACAAAGCCGCATAAATACTCGGCAAAAGTTGGAGAGAAATATCTACTTATACATCAACAAATGAAACCTTACACAAATATCGAGTGCAATCAGGATAAAGACAAAAATGAGAAAAAACGATAAAACAATACACATAGAAAACAATTGACGCTTTTTTTTTTCTTTTGTTGCCGGCAAGGTAGGAGTGAACGTCACACAAACACCTCACGCAACACACGATGAGCTTAGAGCTTCGAGTGGGTAACCGCTTCCGCCTCGGCCAGAAGATAGGGGCGGGGTCGTTCGGCGAGATCTTCCGCGGCACAAACATACAGACGGGCGAGACCGTGGCCATCAAGCTGGAGCAGGCGAAGACGCGCCATCCACAGCTCGCCTTTGAGGCCCGATTCTACCGCATTCTCAACGCAGGCGGCGGGGTCGTGGGCATCCCCAACATTCTTTTTTATGGCGTGGAGGGCGAGTTCAACGTGATGGTGATGGACCTGCTGGGGCCCTCGCTCGAGGACCTCTTCAGCTTCTGTGATAGGAAGCTGTCGCTGAAGACAACGCTGATGCTGGCGGAGCAGATGATTGCGCGCATCGAGTTTGTCCACAGCAAGAGCGTCATCCACCGCGACATGAAGCCGGACAATTTCTTGATGGGCACCGGGAAGAAGGGGCACCACGTCTACGTCGTTGATTTTGGTCTCGCCAAGAAGTACCGCGACCCCCGCACGCACCAGCACATCCCGTACAAGGAGGGGAAAAGCCTGACGGGAACGGCACGGTACTGCTCGATCAACACGCATCTTGGCATTGAGCAGAGCCGTCGCGACGACCTGGAGGGCATCGGCTACATCCTGATGTATTTCTTGCGTGGCTCACTGCCGTGGCAGGGCCTGAAAGCGCACACGAAGCAGGAAAAGTACTCTCGCATATCCGAGCGCAAGCAGACAACGCCCCGTGGAGACGCTGTGCAAGGGCTTTCCCGCGGAGTTCGCCGCGTACCTCAACTACACCCGAAGCTTGCGCTTCGAGGACAAGCCGGACTACAGCTACCTGAAACGGCTCTTCCGAGAGCTCTTCATTAGGGAGGGGTACCACGTGGACTACGTGTTTGACTGGACGCTGAAG